TCATATTTACTTTGACACTACCTTTCTTTTAAAAATATTTATTTTTTAGGTGTAGATGGACACAACACAATTCCTTTATTTTTATGTGGTGCTGAGGATAGAACCCGGGTCCCGCCCGTGAGAGGCAAGCGCTCTACCGCTGAGCCACAATCCCAGCCCAACACTACCTTTTTGAAATTGTTTTCTGGTGTGTGTGTGTGTGTGTGAGAGAGAGAGAGAGAGAGAGAGATATGCTGGGTATTGAATCCAGGGTCTTGTACCGGCTAAGCACATATTCCTCCACTGAGCTACACCTCCAGTCCTTCTGGATTCTTAGTCATAGCAAGTGTTTATTCTTTGGATGTGCATTTTATTTTTGGAAGTGGCTTGAAATAAATTAATTGGGAACTTATATTTGAGAAGAAACTTAAGAATGTGATAAAGAATATACCCTATAATGTCCTACGTTGATGTAGCCAGTCTCTTTTGGGCACATTACAACAGATAAAACACAGGTGCACGTGGCCTGTTTTGTTGTTAGACTCCCATGAACGTGACATCTGCTTTTGTACTTTCACCCTTTGGTTCCAGTTTTGTCTTCAGACACATCACAGAGTAGATTCAGGTCAGTCTTTCACACCATATGACTGAGAACTTCAGAGACACACATGCCACACTTACTGTTCACTATTTCAAACACACACATTGTTTTAAACCTGTGAGATACAGGTCAAAAGTTAATTCCTTTTTATGGAAGAAGAGACAGATCTCAAATTAGTAACCAAAGTTATATAACTTAGGAAAGTCAAGTTCACAACTTTTGTCCTAAATAAATCTACACACATTTTTCTTCAAATCCAGTGACCTTTTTAATCTGACTGTTTCTTATTTGTATCTCCTCTCTGTTGTGGGCTTCTCTAAGTTGGTAAGTAGTCCCTGTTTCATCAGTGGTTTTCTGTTTTAATCTAGTGTCAGACCCATTTCTAACATGAACATCCTTCTCCATGCCTGGTCCTAGTGTTCAGATTGTCAGTATTCTGGGTAGGTTGACCAGTGACTAGTATAGTAATATTCTATTTTTTGATATTCATAAGCCCCCTATTAGTAATAATACAGGAAAGTACCATATTAACGTCTTTGGAATTTAGGCCTGGAATTAGTGCCTAGTGAACTAGGCCAACCAGAGGTTCTTTGGGAAGTTTTTTTAGTTGTAGATAGACACAATTCCTTTATTTTATTTTTTTTTTAAGAGAGAGAGAGAGAGAATTTTAATATTTTTTTTTTTTTAGTTTTTGTCGGACACAACATCTTTCTTTGTATGTGGTGCTGAGGATCGAACCCAGGCCGCACGCACGCCAGGTGAGCGCGCTACCACTTGAGCCACATCCCCAGCCCAATGCCTTTATTTTTATTTATTTATTTCTATGTGGTGCTGAGGATCAAACCCAGTGCCTCACTCATGCTAGACAAGTGCTCTACCACTGAGCTACAACCTAGCCTAAAACAGTTTTTTCCTGTCTGAATTTATTTCATTCACAAACTGCTAAGAAGGTATGTCTTTACTATTTTGAACATGGGAAAAATCCATCAGGATGAGAGGTGGGTAGTTAACTGTCACTTACTGTGTGACCTGGGACTTAATTTTTCTATGAAAATGTGGGTGATGCATGTTTTGACCTACAAAAAGGTAGTTTCTTTAAGGTTCAGCTGAATTTAAAAGGGTATTCATTTTCTATGGTTGTTGGATCGTTAAGACTGTCTAGCACATTAATTCACCAAATTATTTTCTAAACTAATAATGTTGATATCATCTTATGGTTTTGAAGAAATTTAAAAAATAAGAATATGGAGTATATATCTAGATTTTTCTTCAGTTCATTAAAAAATGCCTTGAATTCTGAGTGTTTAATTAGAGTAGGAAGACAACTACAGGAAGTATCAGCACTTGCTCATCTGTGTTCTGAAAGAACAGCACTGTTGTCACACTTATAGTCATACTTTGTATATTACACCCAAGAGAACAGTAGTACATCTGTGTATGCACTGATGTTTGGGGAAAGCCAGGTGACATGGGGTGTGTGGAAGAGAGCATAGCATAGGCTCAGGGTGGGTAGAGGGAAAGAGGTGGGAGCTATCTATCTGAAGAAAACATGGTGGAAAAAAGATGTGGTGGAGGAAAGAGGGGAATGATTTGTATTACAAGGAATTAGATAAGGGTGAGTGTTTAGAGCTTTAAGTAGTAATTCATACCAAGAAGAGTAGGAGAAGGAAGCAGAAACCATTTAATTTTCATGAAATAGTCATCTAGGATAAAAAATTAGGAGAATCCCATAAATAAAAGAATACAAATATTATTTGTCAATTAAAAATAAAATTTGGGCTGGGGATGTGGCTCAAGCGGTAGCGCGCTCGCCTGGCATGCGTGCGGCCCGGGTTCGATCCTCAGCACCACATACAAACAAAGATGTTGTATCTGCCGAAAACTAAAAAATAAATATTAAAAAAAATTCTCTCTCTCTCTCTTTAAAATAAATAAAATAAAATTTTAGGACTGGGGTTGTGGCTCAGTGGTAGAGTGCTCGCCTCACACGTGTGGGACCCTGGGTTCGATCTTCAGCACCACATAAAAATAAATAAGTGAAATAAAGGTATTGTGTCCAACTATAACTAAAAAATAAATATTTTAAAAAAATTTTAAAAAGGAAAAGGGAAGATTTCTTATTGGTTCCTTGGCTGGATTAACAGTAGCTTACGTGTTTGAAATAAATTTTTGTTATGAAGAGAGGAGAATATATTTTATTCTATATTTTACATTGTGTTTTTATATACCAGTATGTGTATTTGTGCTTATATACAGTGTGCATGTATATAGTATCTTAGCACCAAGTGTCTCCTCAAGTAAAAGATGCTTCTGGACTTTCAGTGGGTTGTGTTCAGATAAGTTGAAAATGTAAGTAAAAATATGCACTTATCATACCTAGGCTTACATCACAGCTAGCCTAGCCTTTCTTAAGTATGCTCAGAATATTTACACTAGCCTCTAGTTGGGCAGAATCACTTAACACAAAGACTATTTTATAATCAAGTGTTGATTATCTCACGCACATACACAGATGGGTGTTTTGTAGTCCTGATGGAATGTGAAAACCAAACACAACATCCAAAAAAGTGATGGCAACACAATAAGTACACTGTAGAGTATGTGGTTCCCCTTGTGATCATGTGGCTGGGAGTTATGCTGACTGCCACTGCCATCATCAAGAATGAGTGTCAGGGTATTGTGCTGCATACTGTTTGCTCCGGAGAAGAGCAATGAAGTACGGTTTCTGAAGTTATGGCCTTTGCACCATTATAAGTCAAGAAATCAGTAAGAACAGTTGTAGGTAGGGGACCATCTATGTTTACTTTGCCAATTAAAGAGGTTATTTCTGTATATCATAAGCTTGTTTCTGAACTGTACAGGCCTACATTTGAGGTCTAGTTGATAGAACTGCACAAAAACATTATCAAATAAATTTACAGAATAAAATGTTAAAGACATTTTTTAGGTGGCTAAGCTAGTGTTTCTTTTTAGAGACAATGAGGTGGAAACCAGATAACTTATACATAAATGTAGGTATGTAATATTAGTACAACATTAGATGACTTACATTGTTGAACTACATACAATTTGATTCTCCTGAAGCAATAAATTTCTGTTACAAGACCTTGTAATCAGTGCTAGGTAAACAAAATTTGAACTTGGCTGCCTTTCTGTTTTTCATTCAAATAAATTCTTAGCTGGGTGTAATAGCTTGATTCGTGACCTTCACCTGTGGTATGTTTGTGTGTGATAGAGAGTATGTGTGTGTGTGGTCATAGTTACTGAATGAGATAGTGATCTACTGATAAAGTTCCAGTCTGAATTAGCTGTGCTGTAGTCCTTTGGAATTGTTTGTTCAAATATTTTTGTTGTTGTTTTTGTATTTGTTGGGAGTGATGGGCATTTTGAATTTTTCAGAACTTATAAATTAACACATCTTTTTCTTTTCATTGTTCTTATTTTTTCCACATGTTTTGTATTGGTGTGTTGTAATTATACATCATATACGCTGGTACATGCTCCCCCTGATCCTTTTCCTCTGTTGGTCTTTACTTAGAAATTCATGAGATACCCCCCCCCCCCCCACACACACACACACCCCTTTCATTTCCTTTTTCCTCTTAAACATATGAGAGAAAACATGACCCTTGGCTTTCTGAGTTTGGCTTACTGTGTTTTACATAATGCTTTCAAGTTTCATACATTCTTGGAACTTTTTTTTAAACATTTAAAAAATATATTTATTTTATAGTTGTAGTTGGACTCAATACCTTTGTTTTATTTATTTATTTTCATGTGGTGCTGAGGAGTGAATCCAGGGTTTCACACGTGCTAGCTAAGCGCTCTACCACTGAGCCACAATCCCAGTCCACAACTTTTTTTTAAACAGCCTTTATTGAGGTATAATTTACTTTTCATAAAACTCGACCTTTGTAATATTTTAGTAGATTTGTAGAATTGTGCAACCATTGCCACAATCCAGTTTTAGAACGCTTTCATTACTGGAAGAGGTTCCTTTGTTCACAGTTACAAATTAATCATCACTCTCATCTTTAGTCCTAGGCAACCAATGATTTGCTTTTTGTATCTGTAAATTTGCCTTTTATTTTTCTTTACATTGTATATAAATGGACTGATGCAGTATATAGTTTTTTGCATCTGGCTATGGGCTGTTGAGGTCATCATTGCTAGAGCCTGTATCAGTGGTTCATTTCTTCTAATTGCAAAATGGCATCCCATTATGTAGATATACCACATTTTGTTTATCCAATTCCCTGGACATCTGGATAGTTTCCAGTATTAGCTGTTATGAATAATACTGCTGTGAACATGCACATACATGTCTTTGGGTGGATTTATATTTTCATTTCTCCTGTGTGCAGTTTCTCCATATCCTAACCAATGCTTGGTATTGTCTGACTTTTTGATTACAGACGGTCCCTGACTTAATGATGGTTCGACTTATGAGCTTTCAACTTTACAATGATGTGCTAGCAATACATTTTCAGTAGAAACCATTCTTCGAATTTTGAATTTCAATCTGTTCCCTGGCTGGCGATATGCGGTACAATACTCTCACTCAGTGGTGGGCAGCAGCTGCCAGCTATAGCTCCCAGACAGCCACGTGATCACAAGGGTAAACTTTGCAGTGTACTGTGTTGCCAATACTTTTGGATTTTGTGTTTTGTGTTTTTGCATCCCATCATGTCTACAAAACGTCCATCTGTGTCTCCTGCTTCTGGGGAAAAGAAGAGGAGGAAGGCAATTACTCTTGAGATGAAACTCAAAATAATTGCTCAGCATGAAGGTGGCAAGCCAGTAATGGTCATTGCACGGGAGTCAGGACTGTCACAGTCCACGATCTCAACCATCTTAAAGGATAAGAAACGAATCAGCGATGCAGTGAAATCGTCAGCATCAGTTAAGTCCACTGTCATTACAAAGAAAAGAGCCGGGCCAATTGATGATATGGAAAAATTACTTGTTGAGTGGATAGATGAGCAGGTACGAAAGCGTGCACCACTTAGTCTCCTGATGATCCAGGCTAAGGCAAGAAGTCTTTTCAATATGCTGAAAGAACATGCTGATCCTACATATACACAGATGTTTACTGCAAGTCATGGGTGGTTCCAGCGCTTCAAAAGGCGTCATAATTTTCACACTGTGAAGGTCAGTGGTGAGGCAGCAAGTGCCGATATTGAATGTGCTGAAGCTTTTAAGGAAGAGCTGCATAGGATAATTGTGGATCAGAAATATTTACCAGAACAGATATTTAATGTTGATGAAACAAGCTTGTTCTGGAAGCGTCTGCCTGAGCATACATACGTTCCTCAGGAGTACAAGACAATACCAGGATTCAGAGACCATGTAACTGTGCTTTTGGGTGGAAATGTTTCAGGATTCAAATTAAAGCCTTTTCTCATCTACCATTCAGAGAACCCTAGAGCATTTAAGAATGTGAGCAAGCATACACTTCCTGTTTATTATCGCCATAATAAGAAAGCCTGGATGACTTCAGTGTTGTTTGAAGACTGGTTTTTGAACTGTTTTATTCCACAGGCAAGAGAATATTGTAGGCAAAACAATATCCCATTCAGGATTCTTCTGATCTTAGATGACGCTCCAGGGCATCCACAACATATTGGAGCCATGCATCCTGATGTAAAGGTGGTTTATTTGCCACTCAACACAACCACACTCATTCAACCAATGGACCAAGGTGCAATAGCTGCCTTCAAAGCACACTATTTACGCCAGACGTTTGCTCAGGCTGTTGAAGCAACTGAATCTGGCCAAACACTCCAGGAATTTTGGAAAGGTTTTAACATTCTAAATGCTATCCAGAACATTGCTGCAGCATGGGAAGAAGTCACACAACAGTGCATGAACTGCATTTGGAAGAAAGTTTTGAAGACATATGTGAACACATTCAAAGGTTTTAACAAAGGCCCTGCTGTTGATGATATGGTAAGTAACAACATATTAACTCTTGGGAAGCAATTAAAATTAGACATCCATGAAGACGATATTCATGAAATTGTCAGCATTAAAACTGAAGAGATTTCCAATGAGGAGCTGATTGAACCAGAGAAGGAAAGAAGTAAAGAAGTTAAAGCAGAGGAAGAAATTATATGGAAGGCACCAAGAAAGTTCACAGCAAAGAAACTGGCAGAGGCATTTGCTACTATCAGCAGCGGTATGCGGATGTTAGAAGAAATGGACAGCAATTACGAGAGATACGCAAGAGCTGACAGGCAGATTCAAGATGCTCTTGCTTGCTATAGAGAAATATATAATGAAGAAAAGAAACTGACTGTACAGTCAAAACTTGATATCTTTCTGAAAAACACTATGCCTGCTAAACCGTCAACAAGTGTCAATGCCTCAGTGCCTTCCACCAGTTATTCTCAAGTCTCGTCAGAAGAGAGAGGAGTCAGTACTCTTGTTGCTGTAGCATCCACATCATCCAGCAGTTAATTTTAGTTCAATGCATCAAACATTCTTCAGGGCCAGTGTGTTTTCATCTTTGTACATTAATGGTGAGTACTGCATAACTACTCTGTTTCACACTTTCAGTGTACTGTTCCATAATTACAAGAGATATTCAATGCTTTATTTATAAAATAGGTTTTGTGTTAGATGATTCTGCCCAACTGTTCGCTAATGCAAGTGTTCTGAGCACATTTCAGACTGGCAAGGCAAAGCTACAGTGTTCATTGGATTACTGTATTAAATGCATTTTTGACTCACAATATATTCAGATTAAAATAGGTCTATCTGGGTATAACCCTGCTGTTGAGGAGCATCTGTGTAGCTGATAGGAGTGGTGATATCTCTTTGTAATTTTAATTTGCATTTTCCTAAAGACTAATGGGGTTGAGCATCTTTTCATGTGCTTAATTAATCATTCCTTTATTTTTTGTGATATATTCAAATTTTTGCCCATTTTTTTGCTGGGGGGTGGGTCTGTTTTACAAATTGAATTCTTGGTCTTACTGAATTGTAAGCATTTTTTGTGTTCTAGTAACAAGAATACAAATACTTTATCTCATGTGATTTGCAAATATCTTCTGGTTTATAGCTTGTCTTTTAAAATAGATTTTCTATTTTAGAGTAGTGGTAAGTTCATAGCAAAGTTGAACACAAAGTACAGAGCTGCCATATATCTCCTTCCCCCATTCAAGCACAGCTGTCAACACCCAGAACCACACTGATATTTATTACAGTTGATGATATTAACATGTCATTATTCTTCGTGGTGTTTTTTGAAGTGCGAAAGATTGTGGTTTTGATGATATGTGAATTTTTATTTTATGGTTTGTGCTTGTGATGTATCAGAACTTTTTGCTCAATCTAATGTTTAAATTTTCTCCTGTTTTCTTTTTCTTTTTGAAAAATTCTAATAATTGCCATCTTAACCATTTTTAAGCATATAGTTCGTGCCAGGTGTAGTGAAGTTATGATCACAAGTTCCAGGCCAGCCTAAGCAATTTAGACCCTGTTTAAAAAAAAAAAAAAAGGACTAGGAATATAGTTCAGTAGTAGAGTGTTTTGGGGTTGAGTCCTCAGCACCAGGAAAACAAAAAACACATTCATAATGTTGTGCGACTATCACCACCATCTATCTCTGTAACTCTCTCTTACCCATTAAACAGTAACTCCTAATTCTCCTCCCCTTGCTCCAGGTAAACACCATTCTACTTTCTTTCCTTTTTAAGGAAATAATATGAATTTAAATAGTATGAATTTCTTTCCTTTTTGAGGAAATAATATTCCATCATATGTATACCATATCATGCTTGTCTATTCATCTGTCTGTGAACACTTGGGTGGCTTATTTTAACTGGGGAATAATGTGTTACATTGGTGTAATAGGACCCTGCTTCATTTCTTTTGGATATGTATAAGCAGAAGTGGAATTGCTGGATCATATGGCAACTCTGTTTTTGATATTTGATCAGCCACCATACTGTTTTCTACTGTGCACTGTTTTACAGTCCCACAAACACTGCACAAGGCGTCTGTTTTCTCCATGTCTCTAATACTTCCTGTTTCCAGTGTAATAATTAATTTTATGGACATAATTGCTCCACTTGAAAAAAATTCATATATGCTTCTTATTCTACTTCATTGTCTAACCAGGTGTCTTAGCAGATGTTAAGAAGAAAGCAGTCTGTATTAATTCATACTAATATGAGACTAACTAATAGTCCTTTAGCCTTCTCAGGAGAATAGGTGTTTTAAATGAATTTATAAACCAATTCTCTTAATAGGTGGAATTTCTGCTGAACAAAATGAGGAGTAATCAATTTAAGGAATCTGAGGAAAATATTTGAAATCAGGCAAGCTGTTTTGCTTGAGCTCTTATTTCCACTTATTTCTCTCTATGGTTCCTGCTTCTGGATGCAGGTTCTATTAAACACTCCTGATAACTTGCTGAGTATGCGAAATCATTAGATAAGGAAGCAGAGGCTAATATTTAATGGTTTGCCTAAAGTCTCACTGCTGGTTAGTGGTTAGCATTCTTTTCTGATGAAGGTCATTTGGGGTTCTTATTGAAATTTCTTTTAAGTGGTATTCACAAATGTATTCATCCATATTCAAGACATTCTTGTATTCACAGGTTGCACTGCTGTGATCATCACCTCCCAAGGATGCATCCTGACTTATCTTCGCACTTGCACACTGAAGAATGCAACATCTTGATTAACTTGCTTAAGGAATGTCACAAAAATGTAAGAGTTCAGAAAAATGACCATAAAATACAAAGAAACTTAGGTACAACACACTAATGTAAAATGTTATCTCCCTTAATGGAAAGAAATGATAATGTCTTAGTAGTGGATCTGAGCTTAGTAAACATTAGCAAATGATGTAAAATTTTTCTTTTAAAGAAACCACCTCCTTTTATGATTAGTAAAAATAAAGCCATGATAGTTTGTTTAGAGAACTTCTGAAACAGTATGTAGTAGTTGGAAACTGTGTTCTTACAGTGAAATATCTTTCCCATTCTTAATAATAGAACAGTTCAGCTCTGACTCTTCTGATCATGAAGGAGTTATTCTAAGATTATCTGTTTCTTAATGGCTACCATTCTCTGTTTTATGGTAATTGAAACATTTTATATAATTAGATGTTAGTTACATTTAATTTATGATCAGCCTAATCTGATGGATTTAATTTTTAGTGAAATGGAAGCAATTCAATGGTTAGACCTAAATAGAGGACTGGGGATTATAGTCCAGTGTTACAGTGCTTTACCTAGGATGTATAAGGCCCTGGGTTCAATCCCCAGTACTGCAAAAAAAGAGAAAAAAAAAAAAAGGAAGAAAAGGAACCCATACTTAGAATGCATTAAGTCAAGCTGACATTTTTATAGATATTGAATATTTAGCTTTTCCTCCTACATTTGATGCATGACATAGTTGTAGGAAATATTTGTGTTTTACTTCGCATGGTGAATTAGTTTCTTTTCTCATGATACTTATAAACTTTCAATGTATCTCATTTAATGATAATACTTAAATGAATAAAATTTAAAGACCAAAAGTCAGGTACTAAGAAATACTTAGCCTGTGAAGTCATATTTTTACTTGATGACAGTATACTTTAGATAAACCATTTTCTCCATACTTTTATTTATTTTTTTTAGAGAGAATTTTTAAATATTTATTATTTTAATTTTCGGCGGACACAACATCTTTGTATGTGGTGCTGAGGATCGAACCCGGGCCGCACGCATGCCAGGCGAGTGTGCTACCGCTTGAGCAACATCCCCTTCACCATACTTTTAAATCAAGTCTCGGGAACTGCCCCACTATTCCTGAATTGACTCAGCTGATAATTGAGCTAGACTGCATAACTGAAACACAACTTCTGATTTTATTTTTATTTTTTATTTTTGGTAGTAGGCATTGAACCCACGATGCTTTATCACTGAGCCACATCCTCAGCCCTTTTGAATTTTTATTTTGAGACAGGCTCTCACTAAGTTGCTTAGGACTTCATTAAGTTGCTGAGGCTGACCTCAAAATTGCAGTCCTCCTGCTTTAGCATTCTGAATCACTGGGATTACAGGCATGGGCCACTGTGCCTGGCACAACTTCTGATTTTTTAAGTAAAAATATAAAATGTTTACTATTTAAGAAACAGGAACTGATTATTTGTATTGACTCAATACAGAATGTTTCAGCTCTGTATGTAGTGAGTTATAGTAAAAGGAAAACAGGGAGTGTCCACTACCAGAAAGAAGCTTTGGAGAGAAAGAGATTTTGTAGGGTAATATGTTAGTCTTACCCTTAATGATTTTGCCAATTTAACCTTTAGAAGTGTGTTGTGTTTTCATAACATTATGCATATGTGAAGAAATGCTGTTTTTTCATATTTACTTCCTAGGTTAACCAGATTAAGGGCTTCAGTTTTTCAATCCTTGATTTTTAAGTATTCTTTGTTACATGTTATTTGCATACTGCTCTTTGGTCCATGATTTTTTTGCTGCTGTTGTTTAATTTTCATTTTTGTAGTTGTAGATGGACAGCATGCTTTTATTTCATTTGTTATGTAGTGCTAAGGGTGCAACCCAGTGCTTCACATGGGCTAGGCAAGCACTTTACCACTGAGCCACAACCCCAATTTTTTCGGTGGTGCTAGGGATTTAACCCAGGTCCTTGTGCATGTTAAGACAAGCACTCTACCAACTGAGCTATACCCCTAGCCTGGTCCATGACTTTTTAAATAGGAATCAAATATTACATTTTTTTTCATTTCAAAAGGATTTCTTATAACGAAGGGGATATCTCAGATCATTGGAACTAAAGATAGACTTTTGAAGAATTAACTTTTGAAGTATAATTTCATACAGTAAAACAGCTATTTAAGTGTACAGTTTGATTTTTGACCAACATAAACACCCATGCAATCATTGTCACAGTTGAGGTAAACAACATTTCTTTCGTATTAGAGTTCCCTGTGTGGCTTTGCAGTCCCCATTTCTCACCTTGGCCCAGGTAACCCCTGAACTACTTTTTGTTAATATAGATTAGTTTTGCTATTCTAGAATTTGTTATAAATGTACTCTACATTGTATGTTTTTATGTATTGTTCCATATTTTTTGAAGCTAATAGAGTTTGTTGGATATGTCATTAATTCATTCATTTTTATTTCTAAGTGGTATTCCATTGTATGAATATGCCAGTTTGCTTGTCTATTAATGGATATTTAGGTTGTTTGCAGTTATGCTGTTTTGAATAAAGCTGCTATGAACATTTGTATACAAGTATTTGTGTGGATATCTTTTTATTTCACTTGGGTAAATCCCTGGAAGTGGAATGACTAGGTGGTGTGGTAAGTGTTTATAAGAAACTGCCAGACTTTTCCATTCAGTACTATTTTATGTTTCTACCTGCAACCTATTTTCTTTTTCTTTCTTTCTTTTTTTTTTTTTTTTTAAGAGAGAGAATTTTTAAAAAATATTTATTTCCTTTAGTTTTCGGCGGACAGAACATCTTTGTTTGTATGTGGTGCTGAGGATCGAACCCGGGCCACCCTCATGCCAGGCGAGCGCGCTACTGCTTGAGCCACATCCCCAGCCCCCTGCACCCTATTTTCACCAGCACTTAATATTGTAAAAATTTTTCACTTTCTCCAACCTGTGGGTATTATAGTAGTGTTTCCTGTTGGTTTTAGATTGTATTTCCCTGGTGGCTAGTGATTTTGAGCATCTTTTCATGTACTTATTGGCCATTCATATAAAATCTTTTGCCCATATTTAAAAATTTGTGTTATGATTGATTGGGCATGTAAGGCCTTTAATAAGTTTATTGTAAATATTTTTTCCAGTACAGCGTTCATGTATATCCCACACCTAGTATCTCCTATGAACACATTAGGAAGGTACGTTTATTGTGGTTAATGAACTAACAGATACATGATCATTAATTAAAGTCATGCTTTGTTCAGATTTCTCAGGTTAGATGTTGTCCTGATTTCCTATTACAGGATTTCCTCAGGACATCAGGTTGCATGCTTTTGTTGTAACTCCTCAAGACTACTCTTGGCTGTGGCAGTTTCTTTCTTTGTTTTTGATGACTTGATAATATTGAGGTTTACTGGTTAGGTATTTTAGGATGCTCCTTTATTTGAACGTGTCTTATGTTTCTCATGGTTATACTCATGGTGGTATGAGTTTGGGAGGAAAACCACAGAGGTCAAGTACCATATTCAGCACACGTTGTGTTGAGGTTACACATGTGTGTGATTGAGCTCTTTTGATGTTGATCGGGATGGCCTTATTAAGTAGTATTTGTCCGACTTCTTTCCCTTAAAATTACTGTTTCCCACCTTCTATAACTCCAGAAGGAATTCACTGTGCACAGCCAATATTGAGGGACTGGAAGTTAGGCCCTTCTCTCTTTGAAGGTGGAGTGTCCACATAAATAATTTAGAGTTCTGGAGACCTGGTGTCTTCTCCCATTTATTTATTTACATCAGTGTGGACTTATGCATATTTGTTTTATGCATTGTGTTATAATCCAGTACTTCATTTTTGCTCACATTGTTTTAGTTGGGAGTCTTTCAGTTGGGTCTTGGACTCTAAAACATAAAAATTTCTTTGAACTGACAAGAAATGTCTTCCAGGATTCTTTGAGTGAAGAAAATTGAAGTGTGAGAGTGTTTACAGTATTCTAGCATTTCTTTAGAAAAGGAGAAAGCAAAACTACAGTATTCTAGAATTTCTTTAGAAAAGGAAAAAGCAAAACTACTTGGATCTCTTGTGCTCAAAAAGACAAAATACACCTGAAATTAATGAGATTCATTACCTTCTGGGGGACAGGTGAGAGCAAGGTCAAGAGAATGGGGGAATGAAATTTCTGATGGCATCTCTTACATAATTCTTGCCTTTTTAATCTTTAATGTTTTACATGCTAAGTTTTAAAAAGGGTGAGAAAGGATGGGAAGAAAAACAAAAACTGGAATACAAATAACAAGTGAACCTAGCTTTTTGAAATGAGTTATCTAGTCAAGGAATAAGTGAACTGACCCAGGTAATTTGAATATAGGCTATAGTCTGAAAGAGCTGTTGTTGGTAGAGTTTGGGTTTTGCAGTGTATGGATCAGCAGTTCTGAAATTGGCTGCTGTGTATTTCAGGGTTGAACAGTAAGGAAATACTGCAGATAATAGGAGACAGATTTCTCACAAACTCATGCCCATTTTTTCACCACCTTGGTTAAGCCAGCATCATCGCCCCAAGCTCTCTGTGCTCCCTGCAAGTCACACCCCAAGAAGGATAACTAGCCATTTTAAGTCCTTACAATAGAGTTCAGTTCTACCTGGGTTTATACTTGATGTAAGTGGAAATGTACCATATGTGGATACTTTTGTGGTTTACTGTTTATTAAAAGCTCGAAATTTTACCTGTTTCCTGCATTGTCCAGGAATATTAGACACATGTTAAACAAATGAAATTTCAGTTTAATCACTGGAATGAATGGATAAAGTTGTCTTAAGATGTCTCCCAGCCCTGAATTTGTAATTCTGCAGTTTAATCTCTTTTTTGACTAAACCATCATTTCCCATGCTCCTTTCTGTACTAGAATTCTACAGCGCTCTCCAGTCCTTGAAGTGCAGGGCTGTTTTTTTTATCTCCACATGATCCTAACTTGCTGTGCTTTTATCATTCTTCCTGTGTTTTATGGTTCTTCTATGGTCTTCGCAGCCGAATGTCATTTCCTTAG